GTAATGATAAGGAAATATCTATTGTTAAGAATAAGTTGCTTTTATGCTGTTACCAGAAATTACAAAGGTTTATTTTGTTAAAAACTTTAGCTATACTTTTATTCATGCACAGACATTATAAAATTTCTGCGTGACTGCGCAAATATTTGAATTGTGTTTTTTGAAATTCTTGAATTCATACATCAGTTTCAAATATTCCAAATAGATGCACAGCTAATGTGATCTGCTGTAATTTATAATGGCTTTTTTTTCTTTTTTAGCTCGGAATTTATTTTGGTAATGATGAAAAATAGCAACGGTGGTCTTTCAACTTTAAAAATTTCTATTTTAATTTAGTTCCCATGCAGAAATTTTAAGTTTTGAAGTCCAAAAATTTTACAGATTTATTGTGCCTGCGCTTCATAGGGAATATTTTTTTAGAAAAAGTAACTATAAGAGTGTAAACGGGTCAATGTAATAAAATATTTGTTTTGTGAAAATCACTGCTCAGTAAATAGTAAAACTATATAATATCATTTAGGAGGGTTTAAAAAATTTTCAAGAAATTCGAGAGTAAAGTTCACCTTGGAACAATGTGATATTTATTTTTAGGGTCATAATGAAGGTTATGTAGCTATTGATGATTTCAAAGCAACCGAGAAGGGACAACTTTCCGTCACCAAGGGACAGCGACTTGAGGTTAAATTCCGTGTATGTTTGTACGAGATGCGTCTCCCGGAATACCTGACTGTGCCTCCTGGAATCATTTGTATTTCAAAAAAAAAGAAAAATTTCCTTACCTTTTTTGCAATAATGCATATTCTTTCTTTTTGCTTACAGTATTCTTTCTTTTTGCTTACAGTTTCATCGTTCCTTTAGATGCCTTACTTATCTTTCTTTGTTAATTTCTTGAAATGATCCTCCTCAATTGAATATTTTAGTTATGTTATTAAATGAGTTTGAAATTTTTTTTTCATAAGAAGATAAGATAAAAAAGGAAAAGCTGATAAAATGAAGTATAACTTCTAGTATACCACCTATTATGTCCCATTCACTTGTGTTTTTGCGTTTTATGCTTTGAAGCGATAGATTTTTTTTTTTGGAAAATTTGTTTCTTTTTTTGAATTAGAAGTGAGTTAATATATATCACTTCGATCGTTATGGCCTGTTTTCTTACCTTTCAAGAAATTTGTTTTAAAATTTTAAATCAAACTATGAGCTAATTAAAAGTAAAGCTAATTCAAGAGTAGGGAAATTTTTTAAGTCTTTAAAATTTACCAATTTTTTCTACTTACATTGATAGATTCACCACTTTATTTCATTTTTATATTGATACATGCAGATTTTTGTATGTGTATTTCAGTAATTTAAAAATGCAAAATTTCAGGTGGTAGAATATTGCGGGGATGCTCCAGAATGGGTGCTTGTTTCGATTACTTGGGAAAATGGTGAACAACAGCGTGGACTTGTTCCATGTTCGGTTATTTCATCCATAGAACCAACAGGTTTGTTTAGTTTACGCAAAGATTTAATCCGTTCACACTTAATTGTTAATCTGAAACTTTCCGATATATTATGTCCGAATATTTCGAAAAAAAAGTAATTTAGAATGATAGAATTAGTTTATCATCTTGTTTCTTTTGATAACAGTAATTGTTGAAGAACGTTCGTGATAAAATTTGAATTGAATTGCAACCACTCGAAGCTTTTGAAGAAGGGAATTTTTTTTAAATCACCTATAATTTAGTTGGACAAGTTATTATAATCACTTCAAAAATGGTACTGCAGTTTAAACTTGTGGATTTTATGAACTACCATATTCTTTGCAGTCATTTTCAAATATTTTAGTTATTGTGCTTGCAAGGACGGAACTGTAGTTTTCAAATATTTATTTATTTATTTATTAGTTTCAATAAAAATGATTTAACTGTGTTCTAATTGGAAAAAAAAGAAGATAGAAAATAAGGAGTTCAATTATAATAAGTTGCATTGAAACAGAGATGTTCATATTCTTGTTGTTTTCCTTAAAAGTTTTCTTTTCTATTATTTATTTAGATATAAGCTTTAGCTTTTGTTTGCACTTTAGATGATGGTGGTGGCGTGTTTGAATATTTGGTAACTGATACTTTATACTTGAACGTGCTGTAGCAGAGAGAGAGAGAGAGAGAGAGGGAGAGGGAAAGAGAGGAAGAAGAGATAGTTGTTAATAATAAATAGAATCGTCATAGACAAAGTGTTCTAAAACACTTCTAATTTTGTATTTTTTTATCATTAGCAATGTTTGCTGACGTTCATTTTTCAGTAATGATGTTAATCCTCTGAACAGTGCGATTCCCAATACATAATTTGTAGTGTATCATAGTTTGGCAGATCTTAAATCGTTTATTTCTGTTGTTTTAAATAAAAGGTTGAATTTTTTTTTATCATGAAAACGAACTGTACACCCGATTTTCCCTCTTTTTGTTTTTTTTTCTTTTCTATCTTAATAATCGTAGGACAATTTATGTTGAATAATCGTAGAACAATTTATGTAATTAACAATTTATGTTGAGCTT